CACGTGTACATAGTTTTGTATATGTTTTGTGTGATCGATGTGTATATATATATATATATAGGAAGGAGCTTTTTTGTGTACACGTGGAGTGGGCTGGATGGCCCGACTTTCGTGCACATGTATATATATATATATATATATATATATATATATAATTCGGAGAGAAGGCAGGGGAAGAGTTCATATTTTATTGTGTTGTGTATATATCTCAGCAAACCGTTTTGGCCCAGGAGAAGAAAATAATTATGGAACGGGTGCTGGAACATTTGTTACTCAGGGCAGACATGGCAGCCATGCGCGATGGCGGTGATTTGCACCCACAGGCGAGGCTCACAGATGGCGAGAAAAAACGCTTGGATGCCATAATCACAGCTGTTGGTTTCCGCCTCGACAAGGAGCTTCGCAGGAACGGTGAGGAGGCGGATGAGTGCCAAGCTTGCTGTGGGATCCTATGTGGACTGTCGCACCATTGAGGACATCACGAATCCTGTCGCCAAAGCAAAACCCGGCCCTGCACGTGGACCTTCTGTGGAGGTTCGGACGGATCCTGTTCCCAAAGCAAAATGCCCCGGGATCATCCCTCTAACCCGCCCTCTGGGTGGACCTTCTCTGGATCGTCGGAACGTTTTTGTTTTTACCGAAAGCCCCCCGACCAAGCGGGCACGGCAAGAGTAGTCATCGCACAGGAACATGTACATATTGTACAGAAAAAGAGATGTGTAGAGGAGAAGGATATAGTGTGTAGGATTGCATGGAAAGGGCTGGATGGCCCAATTTTGAGCATGTCTGTGCAAAGTTTTGTGTTTTCTGCATATGTGATGTGTGCTGTGCTCAAGAAGGGAAATTGGATCTCGCTTCCTCTCTTTTCTCTCGTGTGGAACATGGAGGCACAGCCGGAGATGGTTTTTGAAGAGAATGCGGCAACGAGATTGCAGGAGCGAGTCTTGATCGACAACCTGCTCGATCTTTATTGGATGTTGCTCGAGGTCTACATCCAGAAGAAATTCTTTGCAGCCTGGTCTGGCAATACCAGAAGGCGAAGTTCGGAGTCATGATCCGGCCGAAAGTGTATGCACTTTTGACAAGAATGTCTGCAACTTTGGAAAAAAGGCTGCATCGTGTGGAGAGAGGGCTGGATGGCCCGAGAGTGCACAGTGCACCTTCTAGATCGGTGTGTTATATGTGTATATACAGTTGAAGGAACAGGAGATTCTGGATACATGTGTGTGGAGACAGGGCTGGATGGCCCGAATGTCATGCACGTCTCTATATACTTTTGATTCGGTGCATCTTTTTTTGGGGGGCATGTAGCAGAAAAGGAAATTGCGCATACTTTTCTGGAGGGAGAGAGGGCTGGATGGCCCGATGTATGCATAGAGGAACGATGCACTTGGTGCATGTTGCTGGCCCAAGAAAGGAAACAACATAGGAACTCTTTTCTTATATATATATATATATATATAGGAGACGGATGCACAATAAAGGAAAAACAAAGCAGCATGGAAATGCTGGATTACCTCGCCTGGATTGCTTGGTGCAACTCGGCCGAAAAAGTGCCCCAAATCCCTAAAAATAATAAATAAATAGAAAAAAATATTTTTAAATAAATAAATATGTATATATAAGCCTATACATAAAACCCCGTACAATCCGCCCAACAAGGCAGAAGGAATTGGAGGAGAAGTCCAAACAAAGAATTGTGGCTGATCCGAAGGTGACACCTTATGAGATCCGCGAAAGCCTGCAGAAGTACCTGGATAGTGTGCACTCCAAGGACATTTGGGCACATGTGGTCCCCCCTGCTGGGGGACCCAGGGTCTGGCATTGGAAAACCAAACCGTGTGCAGTGTGGATGGCGAAGACATCAGCGTTGGTGTTCGATTTGCTGGACGTGGCCAGGAATGGGAAGCTGCATTCAAAGAAGTTGTGCATTGCCTTGGAAGGAATGGTGGACAGCGGGGCCATCAGGAACTGTTCCGGGTCGCAGCGGGAGGACTTCATCAGTCATGTGGACATCACCATGCGGATTCTGCTTGTGCATTTTCGGAGTTGCAGAAACAGGAAGGAAACCAAAAACAACGTGCTCAACAGGCTTCAAGGGTCAGACCGCTGCAAGGCAGGGGAGGGGGGGGGCAGGACGGTCGCAAAAATAGGTTTGTGAACATGAGAATATGTATATGTATGTGTATATGTAGATGTAGATGTAGATGTATGTGTGTTTGTATGCTTGCAGGTCCAGAAGGTCGTGGAGGCTTTGGTTTTGCCCTTGGACGACAGCGACGAGGACGACCGTTCTATTTTGGAGGACTCAATCCAGATCGAGATCCGGGAATTCACGAGGACGAGGAGAAACCCCTAGTGAAGAAGGAACCGGACATGGACAATAATTTCTTGCAGAACTCGAAGCTGTTCGAGGTGACTCTGGACGAACCGCAACCGCATGAGTGCCTTCCAAGCCAGGTTAATCGTACCACAACCACAACCCGGTCCTCCTCTAGCAGCCTCAGCCGTCAGGGGGAATTAAATATTTTGGAGCTTGCAAAACAACGCAAACCGGCTGCATCGTGGGGGAGAAACTCGAAGAGCAAAGCCGCGACAGCGGCCAAAGTCTTGCAGAGTTCGGAGTCCGAGGAAGACAGCAGTGAGACAGAGGAGATGGCCCAGAAGAAGAACAATAACAAGAAAAGCGCGACAAAAAAAACGAATAATAAAACGAAGCTAAGCAAGAAGAAGCAGGAGAAGAAGAAGCAGGAGAAGAAGAAGCAGGAGAAGAAGAAGAAGAAGGAAGACAAAAAGTCACAAAGAACAAGATGAAGAAGAAAGCACAGAAAACCAAAGACACAAAGAAGAAGAAAAAGAAGCAGGACAAGAAGGATGAAATTCAGGATGCAGGAAAGGTTGCCGGCAAAGCCATGAAAACACAGGTCGTCAACAAGGAGAAGGAGGACCAAGATGAAAAGAAGGAGGAAACCAGAAAAAGGAAAAGCTTTGGAGGCTTCAGTGTTCCATTTGGTCCAGCCAAGCTGAGATTCGAGACCATGATGGAGGTGTTTTATGAAGTCCTTGTCCCCAAAGCAGCAACCCCCAAGGGTGCACCATGGGAGGCCGGTTTGTAAAAAGGTATGTCTTGTGTGTGCATGTGTTGTCGTGTTGTTGCTGTCGCTGTTGCTGTCTTGGTTTTGTGCAAACAGGTCGAATGGTACAGGTACAGCTACAGCGGGGCGAAGGGTCTGGAGACCAAGAAGGCTTTCAGACAGTTTTTCAGGAAGAAAGCTCATAAGTTTCTGAAGGATAAAGGGCTCGAATGAAGCAACTCTTCTCTCTGTTTTGGCACAAAAAACAGCCGGTCAGAGAACTCTTCCGTCTCACACGGCACACGAAAAGCAACCGCTCGGAGAGAAAAAAACGCTCTGCGCGGGCCGGATGGCCCGGTGTTCGTGGCTTTTTTTTTGTGCTGCCATATAGGACGGGGCTGGATGGCCCCTGTGGTGTGGTGCTTTCGCAGGATGCTGTGCATGTACTATGTATGTGTGGCTCAATATAGGGACTTGGATATAGCATTGCCGTGCTTGTGAGATGGGATCAGAGCAGTCCTCTGCTCAAACATCTTCGGACTCTTGTTTCCCACCAGCAATGACGGAATGGGGAAAGGCAGTGAAGCCTTCCGGGCGCCATGGAGCCGATCCAGGGGGACAAGGCAAGCCTTCTTTTTCAATCTAAAAAATACACCCTACATAAAACTCCTTATATAAAACCTTTCTCTCTAAACCCAGTGGACAGGAGCTATCGACTTTCGGGACAATCTGCGAGGAATGTGGCAGCAAGTGTGCGAGCACACTGGGTCGAAAATGCCGTATCAGGACTTTCAACATAAAGTTGTGGAGCTGTGCGAGAAGTCTTACGACACGAAAATGATTTCGACCCAGACCCCCGGAGCCTTTTACCAAAAGTGCTGTGACTTGGAGCACAAGAAGAGCGGGCGGAAGCTGACCGTGGAAGAGTTCCTCAAGCACACGGTGGACAGTATCATGGACCTTGAGGAAATGATGAAGGTCAAGGACAAGGACACAAAATTGTACGATACCCCGCCGTGGAAAAAATATCCACAGTCGCTGCCAAAGCCACCAGCTCGTGCCGCTGCTGCTGCCTCAGGACTGTGTGTGTATATATATATATAATACACACACACACACATAAACCCCTTATATAGCACCCCATAGACCTCGCGCAGTGCCCTGAACCATTGTGCAGGATCCTCGGAAGCTGCCGCTGCCAACCAGCAGCCAAAGGAGGAGCCTGACTTTTTTTTCTGACGAAGACCCTGACAAGCCACCAGGACCATGTGGTGTGTGTCTGTGTGTGTAGGTATAGTATACATACATATATATATATATAGAAAAACTTACACACAGATTAATATATTTATATATATATATATATATATGTACCTTTTCTCTGAGTTTGCCAGGAAACTGGGAAGCAACTGGGGAAACAACTGCAATGGAGGCCGATGCTGAAGGACCGGGGCACCTTGTGAAGGGTTTTTGTACTAAACAATATATAGTCATATAGTTTGAGTTTTTGTGGCCGATATGCTTTTGTGTCCAGGAGCAGACCACCACATGTTGGGGTGGATGGGTGCCACAGATGAACCCCGGGAGCAGAGACCTTCGTGGGCTCAACAGAGCGAAGGAGGAACAGCAGCGGATGTACCGGATCCTCCGGCACAGCCTACTCCTGCCACTCCTACCCAACAGTCTTCGGAGCAGCACCCTCCCCAGCAGGAGCAGGAGGAGCAGCAGGACGAGAGGATGGAGCAGCAGCAAGAACAGAAGCAGCCGGAGAAGGAGTCGGAGCAATGGTATGATTTCTCGAAGAAAAAAGACGACGGTGAGCCTCAGAATGACACCGCGAATCCGTGGAAGCACTACAATGACCACAAAAGAGGCTAAAGGAAAGACCAGCCAAAGGGGAAAGCATGGGAGGGGACAGGATGGCAGCAGCAACAGGACATGCAGCAGCATTGGGGAAAGAGCTGGCAGCCTCCAGCAGCACAGCCGTACCGTGTCTATATATATATATATATAAGAAACATGTTCACTTTTTTCTTTTTTGTGTTATATATGCAGGGTATATACAAATGTTTCTAGAAACTCCTGCTATTATATACTAGTTTGTTTCTTCGCCAGAGTCTTCGTGTAAGGCAGTGGCGCTCAATGCAGTCGCCGCCATATTTCCCAACACAGATGGGTGCATCCTCAAGTTCGGGCTATGGACCCGTCTTTGTGCCACCCGGATATGGACACCCACCTCCACCTCCACCTCCGTTGTACGGACCGGGATATGGGCCGGCATATGGACCAGGACTCGGAGGCAAATTGGCTTCGGCGACTACGGCCAGGGATATGGACCTGGACATGGAGGCAAAGGCTTCGTCGTCGACTTCTACCACTACGGCCACGGACACGGAGGCAAAGGCCTTGGCGAGCATCGCGGCCAGGGCTACGACTCTGGAGGCCATGGCGGGCATTGCGGCCGGGAAGAACCAGATGAGTGGGTGCAGGACGACGATCAACGTCCACAGCTCCAGACAGGTCAAGTGGATATTCGCGACCCTGCGCTTTGACTGAACTTTCAAGCTTTTGCCTCAACTTGTGAGTGTGTGTGTGTGTGTTGTAGAGATCTCTGAGGATAGCATCCCGGATTACAACGGTTTCGTGAAGAGCACATTCTGGAGCAGGATTCCCAGAGCAGCCAGTCTATATATATAGTTTTATGTTTGTGCATGTACATTTGTGGTCTTACATTTGGGTAAACCTAGAAAACCATGTCAGCTCAGGAGAAGAACATCATATG